TTTTTTTTTTTTTTCCAGCAAAAGCCCCTCCCCCTTTATCCTCCCATTGTCTGGCTGAATTTTTCACAGGAACACATACGGCTGCCACTGATCTGCAAACAAACTTCCTCCTTACTTCCTATTGGCTGGCATGACATGTCACCTCTGCCCTTAAAACAAAGTGACTCCCACAACAGTGCACTCCAGCGAGGAGAAAAGAGGAGGGAGGATGAGGGGTGAGGGTGGGGGAGGAGGAGGAGGATGAGGATGAGGAGGAGGAGGAGGAAGGGGAGGAGGAAGGGGAGGAGGAGGAGGAGGAGGAGGAGGAGGAGGAGGACCTCAGCTCCTCAGCTCCTCAGACGTGTTGACTGACTGCCACCTAGTGTCACATGTGGGAGCCGTGTGGGACGAACAGATGATCCGGTGTCGAACCTTCTGAACACACAAACAAACATGTAAATATAAATACACATGAATCTAAACTTTAACAGTTTGTCTGTGTTACAGTTTTAATTCCCTCGCATCTTATTTATCATGTTAATGACAGTGAATTGTGAATATTTTAATTATTAAATATTGCTTATATCTCTCAGTGATTATAATATATTATTCTAAAATATTATTCTGTTATTATTCTAAATAATATAAATATTATTCAGTCAGAACTTTTCAATTTGTGTCACTGAGGGAGTTTGTGATGTCATCATGTGAGTCTGATGTGAATCATCTACAGCTAAGTTAAATTACCTCATTATTAAAGGTTCATCTCCTCCTTCTCACTCATGTAAAAATCCTCATATAATAATAATAATAATAAACATTGTTTGTGCCTCACGTGAAAAGACAAAATAAAAACATGTCAGACGGAACATCTTTATATTTGTGGCTAATTGTAGGAAATTATCACTTGACTTGACTGTTTTAATGATTACACATGTAAACTGGAGAAGTCATCAACACATCAGTGTCGTGCTCTGTTTGGAAACTGCATCGTTCGTGTTTAATAAATAAATCAATAACCTAAAAACTAAACTTAAACACATACAAACGTTTTAAAAGCATTAATGTAAAATGAGATGTAATAATAATAAAAGAATAATAGAAAAAATAAATGAAATAAATAATTCTAATAAGTAATAAATTGATCACAGAACATCAGAGCTGGTTAAAGGTGAAGAGAAGTTTTTATCAGTCTCACTGAGCTTCTTCTTCTCTGATCTCTGTAGAGTTCTAAAGTTTAACAGCTGGAATCCAGATGTGTCCTACTCTCCTCCTATCACACTCTGCCAGTTTCATACTGCACTGTGATTGGCCCCAGTCTAGCTGTGATGTTATATGTCATAACTCCTGCAGGTACGTCCAGGTGAAAGCAGAGAGACTTTGCTCCTTCAACAAGCAGAAACACTGGTTTTCTATGTGTGTGTGTGTGTGTGTGTGTGTGTGTGTGTGCGTGTGTGTGTGTGTGATATATTCTCTATCATTTTAAATGGCCTGACTCTCCCTGACAGGCCTCAGTAACAGCCCCCCCCCTCGTGACACTCATCTGAATACACTGAGTGAAGCTCCGACAGGTCTGTGTGGGGGGAATCTGCCTATATTACAATGGGGGGCTCCTGACAGCTGCAGTGAGGTGGACTCGGCCTGGTGAGCAGGAGGTCGGCAGGCATCATGGATTTCACCGACAGGCTGACTCTCTGACAGACACACACTCCGGCTTCTACCTCAGCCTGCAGAGACGGGGGGAGGGGTCAAAGGTCACGGCTGGAAGAAGCAGCAGTGATGGGAGACTGTCACGGCCCAGCAAGCGCTGCGTTGAACTCATTCTGTCCAGACAGTAACACTCAGCTCCGGCTCCTAAATTAGACCCATCGCCGATTCATGAAAGGCAGATCTGACAGCGAGCCTGTCAAACACCCCCACCCCCCACCCCCCCACCCCGCTCATAAATAAGCCAACATGTAAAGTCAGGCCAGACAAAGGCCTCAAATTGGCCCAACGTCCCTGCTGAAAGATTGTCATGGGTTGAACATCAGCTGAGATGGAGCTGATGGATCCTCACTGGAGACAGTTGAGGAGGAAGGACTGAGATCTTTAAAGAAGGAAAGACACACTGTGAAAACACTGAACTACAGCTGAGAGTCACAGTTTTACTACGAAACTAAGTACAAAAGTTTCACTTCAAGGTAGAAAGACTCCTTCAGGACAGAGCGGTCCACATTAGTCCAGTCCGTGGCACAGGTAACAGCTCCCACTCACCTTATTAAATCAGTGATAAATCACAGTTTTTACAGCTTAATTCAGGATTGAAATGTTGCTCATTGGCCCAGACCAGGTCAGACCAGGTATTATTATTATTATTATTATTATTATTAATAATAATAAAGTAAGTACTCTCACTCTCAGCTGTAGTTCAGTGTTTTCACAGTGTATCTTTCCTTCTTTGAAGATCTCAGTCCTTCTTCCTCCACTGTGGAGTGAGGATCCATTATTATTATTATTATTATTATTATGACTAAATACAAACATGTCGTCTTGTTTTTGTTGTAAGTTACATCCATTCACAGCTGGTTTTCAGGTTGTCCGTCCATCTCATTCTCGTGAACACAATATCTCGGAGTAAATGTACTACTAAATGTGAAACTTCAGGAGCAGTTAAAAAGAAAAGGTTAGAGTTAAACATTCACTCGCAGCCAAACAGACAGATTTTCTTAATGTAGTTTTACAACTGAATTTATGTCTGATTAAAAATAAATATTACATCTTTGGAGGAAACAAGCCACTGAAATCAGCTACGGAAGCAAAAAATTTCCAATTCAAAGAAAACTACATTTCCCAGAAGGCCCCTTACATCGCACATGCGTAGTTGTATCATAACGACATGACGGACTGTTATGTTTTCAGTAGCAACCGTTACTCTGGACTGAATAAAGTCATCGTAAAAGGTAAGAAATGTTTTAAAGTAAGTACGAATTTTATGTTTTTTTAAATACGAAAACACATAAGTCACCACTGTGATATATTAGCTCAATTAGAAGAGCTAGCCGTTAGCTGCAGAGGTGAGCTAACGTTAGCTAACGTAGCTAACTCACAGTAAGTTTGAAATTAGACGGAGATGGAAAACAACAAACACTAAACCTCAGTTTTATTTTACCGCCTAAACTTCTCAGACCGACGCTGATGCATTTACTGAACATGAAGTTTTATGTGATAAATTCTACTTCACTTAAAGGATGTTACTTTTACAAAGTAACAGGATGGGATGCCAGACACTGTTTAAATCTGGCATCTTTTCTGCTCACCGACGAAATTAATGGTAAAGATTACTTCATATAAATGACTCATGACGTTGAATAATTTTTAAACAGCATCCTTCAGTTCGGCACATATTCAACTCAACAAGCAGCACGTTTCTCAGTAGAGTTTTACATTTTAGAACCTGAATGCACCGTATTGCTCCGGGTTTCTCAGCAATGATGTCTGCGGCATCGAGAAACTTTTGTTACGAAAATTGAAATAATATGAAAACGAAGAGGCTGTTGAGGAGTGTCAATTGTCAGCCGAATACATTAGAAGATACAAGCCATCAGTATTAAATATTAAATATAGTTGTTCCGTGTATCCTTTTATCTGCTCAGCGAAATCAGTCAGTTAAATGATGAATTTTAAAATGGAGTTTGGCTTAATAATATCTCCGTACACTAGCGACCGGTTTATATGAATTCAGGACTATATACCGACCCAGTGTTTGACATAATGTGTCTGTGTGTTTACTTTCAGACTGAAATATGTCCACTCTGCTCGATGAGACATCAGCTGATGTCCCGGTTAGAGACATCACAGTCAACCTGTCCCGACTTGCAGCTGGTTCTCAAGGTGTGTGATACTGTCTGTCCTCATCACAGGTGTTACTGCAGTAACCGCCTTTTGACAGAGTTGAAACCTGATTAATTGTGTTTCCTGTTACTTTCTGAACTGTGTATGGAACTGCATTTGAAAACTGTATCTGATATAAATGAAAAACATCAAGCCTAAACAAGCAGGAGAATTATTGTAGGTAAGAACCCTGTGCTGGGTAAGATAAGATAAGATAAGATAAGTTGTACTTTTGTTGATTTATGTGGAGGAAATTCAAGTTTGACACAGCAGCACAATAGAAAAAATGTAATAAGAAATAAAATCAGAGCAGAAACAGAATCTTGAATAAATAAGATGAATTAGAAATACACATACAATAACTATATATAGACACATGTATGTTTCTGTTTCCTGTCCTGTTCTACCTCACCTGTGTTCTCTAGTCATATCATTGTTGTAAAGACACTGACATCCACTGTTCATTTCTTGTCATGTTGAATCTCAGTTTATTCACCTTCATGACTTCAAAATATAAAAACAACAAAACAACAGGTGAGAATATGTTTTTGTTTTTTTCTGGTCACAGACTCGTCGCTGCATCAAAATGCTCGGGCACGACAGGACATCTCACGGGTGTCCAGGGAGGAGCTGGAGGATCGGTTCCTGCGCCTCCATGAGGAGACCCTGGTCCTCAAACAGCACATTCACAAACAGGATGACAAGATCAAGAAGTGAGAGTCACACACACACACACACACACACACACACACACACACACACACACACCATGCAGAGCTGGACCAAAGGTTTTCAGTTCACAGTGAAACACAGAGAAAATCAAATCATTTATTTATTTATTTGGATCCACCAAGGTAGCAGCTACTCTCCTGGTCCACTCAGGTAAACATGACATCATCATCCAAAACAATGTAAATTAAAATCTTAAAATGAAATAAAAACTAAAACACCAAAAAGGAACATTAAATAAAGACAAATACAAACATAAAAACTAATAATGACAATGACAAGTAGCTGCTACATGTAAACAGTCAGTAAAACATTTGATACCACGAAAAACAGCATCTACAGTGACTGAAGAAAAAAAAAGAGGTTAAAAAAATAACGAACAGATTCCTCATTAATGATCATATAGTCAGATATTATGTAGGAGACCATGTAATGTGTTCTGTGACTCTTTTTAAAAAGACTCGTTAACTGTGAAATCTCTGATGGTAAACCGTGTTTTGTGAAAGTGAAAAACAACCCTTGAAGCCTCGTATTAAAGTCGTGACCATCACTACAATATAAAAACTGATGGTTCAGGACATTTGGGATTTTAGACAGTGAAATATTTCCTATGAAACAAAGTGAAGAAAGAACATTGATTTCCCTCAGTGACCAGCCTCACGACGAGACAGTGATCCAAGTGAGTCAGAACTCATGTTTGAACAATGAGAGAAATGCATTGTTCATCACAACATCACATGTGACCAGCTGAATGTTTTGGCTTTTCAAATGATTTAAACAATTAATCCATTATTTAGATTATTATAGTTTTACTCTGAACTCTCCTTTATGTTAACATGTCAGAGTATTCTGGTCTCATGTGCCTTTAAATGTTATAAATGTCCTTTTAAAGACACATTAAAATCACAGTGGTTCAAATCTGTGCAGCACAGATGGAAATATCCTCACTGAGTTCCAAACTCCAGAAACTTTGGATCCTACATTTCCCACAATTCAACTTGATGGCATCTGTCATTAGACCACTGCAGACTTTGGAGAGTTCACAGGATGTTGAGTAACAGTGATCATTCCTCTGTCCCCTCCTCCTCCTTCAGGCTGGGCACTAAGCTGATGAGGCTGGTGAAGGACCGGGGTCGTATGGAGCAGCTGGCGGCGGGGGGGGCCCAGCCCGTCTTCAGGGTCCGGGATGTGGAGATGGAGGAGGTGATGGAGGAGCTGCAGGAGAGGGTCCGGGGGCTGCAGGCGGAGAACGAGGGGCTGAAGCAGCGGCTGCTCGTGGCCAAACAGCAGCTGATCAACTCCCAGAGCAGGAGGCTGTCGCCGTACGGACACGTCCAGTCCAGAGTCAACTCTGGACTGAAGAAGCTGAGGGACGACTCCCCCTCCCCCCCTCACACACGACCCAAGAGTGAGACACATGTTTAATATTTAATGACCTGTAAACTTATCTTAACTCATGAAGCATTGTTGAAGTGTCAGAGAGGTCAGAGGTCACATGTTTACTTCACTGTCACTGAGTTTCTGGGGCCAGTTCCACAAAACACATTAAGTTTCCAACCTTAGTCTGACACTTAAGGTTTAATTTCTCCTTAGCTGAGGGAGTTACTTAACCCTTACTTACTGTTCAGGTCAACTTTGACCCCTCTGACATTTGGCAGCAGTAAAAATACCATAAATGTCCTTTAGCCTGAAACGTTATGACTGACACTTTAATGAAGGATGAATCCTCCATGTGTTAATGTCAGAGAGGCTGTTTATACTTTCTACATAGATTCACTACAGACACTTATCATGAGGGAGCTCTTACTGTGTTGAAGTATCAACAGTGTGTATTAAGGGTGTAGCACAGAATCTCTTCTCCTTAGTTAAGGGAAAAGTTAAGGCGTTTACAGCAGTAAATTTCTACTATTTCCATGGAGAGCGCTGATTTACTGCCATTAGTGCTTGTGATAGACTAAGGACTTTGTGTAACAATTTAACTGACTTTAAGTGATTCCTGAAGTTTAAGGCTAAGATCAAGAGAAAACCTGAAATACTTCAGTGAACATTTAAAGGAAACCTACTTTAAGGAAAATCTGAACTTAAGGGGTTTCGTGTAACCGCCCCCTGGTTTTGACTCAGACCCGGTTCTGACTCAGACCCGGTCTGGACGTCACTGGCACAGACCTTTGTGTTGAACAGACTCTGGTTTCGTCTCCTGCAGGTACGAGGAGTCTGGAGGGGGGGGGCCGTCCTCCGACCGGTCAGCTGCCTCGGTACGGACACAGTCTGCTGGAGGAGGCCAGAGCCGAGATCCGCAACCTGTGAGTGCAGTGGTCCGTCAGACGGATCACCACACCTGCCTCCAGCTGTTACAGATGTTCTATATGTCTTTATTTAAACTGTCATTGATGTCGAGTAGATAAAAACACCAGTTATAAAAGAACATCAGTTAAAACAAGCAAATAAATACAATTAATAGATAATGTGATGACAAGAGTCAATTAAATCAATTAATCAATCAATGTAATCAGTCCAGTCGAGGGCCTTTAGTCTTTATTTTATGTTTTTATTTGTCTTCCAACGATGATGAAAACAAGATAATCCAGATCAAACGATTATTGTTCCGTTCTGTTTCACAACTAATTTCAAACACATTTTTTTTGAGTTGAATGCGTGGTGTTTCCAAAGTCAGTGAGTCATCGTGTTTACTAATCCTGATCTCAGTATTGATCAAAATAATGGTGATGATGATAATGGAGCAGCTCTGGTCCAGATGTTTACAGAGGCAGAGACACATCCAGTCCTCTGCTCCACAACATTAGAAGTTATTAAAACTACATCTCTCTGAAGAACGGATGTTTTGGAAACATTGAGCAGTTGTTGTTTGTGTGTGATCCAGAGAGAACGTAATCGAGTCTCAGCGCAGCCACATGGAGGAGATGGAAGGAGCGTCAGAGCTGCTGAGGGAGGCGCTGAGGAAGAAGGAGGCCGAGTACGAGGAGAGACTCCTGCAGCTCCGCCAGCAGCAGAACTCCAAACTGAGGTGTTTAGACCGAACTGACCCTTTAAAACTGTGTGTGTGTGTGTGTGTGTGTGTGTGTGTGTGTGTGTGTGTGTGTGTGTGTGTGTGTGTGTGTGTGTGAGAGAGATGTTCACTTTGTTTACACCTGACTCAGACAGTGTTGGACCTGCAGCTGAATGGGAACTATTGATCGTGTTTGTTTGGAGCTCGTTACCGAACAGTCGGCGGACACGGGTTAATGAAGCACCTGGATGATCAGTGTGTTGTTGTGGTTCTCTCTCAGGTCACATGTGAACAACAACGTGACGATGATCAAGCTGCAGAAGCAGCTGACTGACAGGTCCAACGCCGTAACAGAGCTGGAGGGTCGATTTCTGCAGCTGCAGGAGGTGAGACGATGTTTCCACAGCCTCCTCTCTCTGAGTTCAATACTCACAGATCAATACAGAGTTCAGCTGCTGGCTCTGATACAACAGGTCTGTTTTCGTTCTCTCAGTCAAATTCGTTCTCTGCTCAACTTCACCCGTTTTATTCTGTTGTTTCACACCCATCCTTCTCACAATGATTCATTCAGCTGAGGTTCATCCTCCTCTGTCGACCACTTCCTGTCTTACGGTTGAACCGTTCTCTCATCAGTTAAGAAAAAGAGTCAAAGCACAAAAACAGGAACAGACAAAGACATGATAAACATAATAAACATAAAACACAATCACGTCGACACAGTGCAGCTGCTGAACGTCACAGAATTACCCACTCGTCCGTGACTCCTCAACAGTTCACACACTCATTCAGAAATCAGTGCACTGGAGCTACAACCGAGCATCACCTCCTCCCGACGCTTCAACTCCTGCTCCTGCTCCTGCTCCCACCTTTCATTCACAAAGCTGACAGACTCCGCCCACCATGCCAATCAACAGCAGAGACACCTGAGCTACACAAATCAACGCCCGGCTCGAACAAGGACGAGCCCCGTGTGTCACAGCCTGGTTCAACAGCTGGACAACGAATATAAGCTTCAAATAATTTATTTACAAAAAGGAAAAAGAGACTTTTTATTATTGAGAAACAATAAAAAAGAAGGGCCACCTCTGTGACAACTACTAAGACATTTACAAGTCACTGACTCGTTACTGATGACCCTTCAAATATACACTTAGTGCTCACTTTATTAGGTACACCTGTGAAGTCTAAATCAGTGGTTCCCAACCTTTTCCATCTCATGTCCCACTCTCAAACATGTTGGCGGCCCACATCCATAACAACAAGAAACGTCCTCAGAGCAGTTTTTATTTTAATGATGATGTTCAAACATCAGTATCAAACATCGGTTTTATCCGACAGGAGAGATCTGATCCGTCCTCTGTCTCTGACTCTCTTTATTGGCATTTAAGGTTTTAGAGAATGTGACTCAACACTGACAACAGAGCCCCTCCCACTACAGAACCACTGCTCCTCGTTACAACCACAGTGGATCTCTGAGCTCATCACACAGACATACTGATCAATAAAATTAATCTAACAGTAAATATAGGTAAAAGAAGAGAAATCAGACAAACAAGCTCCAGTCTTCATCATGTGATCTTTGAATCACAGAGAGAGAAAACAAGAACATGATGTGGTTCAGCAGCAACATGAAGAACACTGTCTCATCACAGTGATGGGTCTTAACACGAAGAAAAGAAAACAGAGAATCAGTTTTTAAATATATATATATACGTATATAATATAAAATATATATTTTAATGTTTTTAATGTTTATTGATCAAAGTCCAATAGGTGTGCAGTAAGCTCCGCCTTCAGAGACAGAACAGGTGTTGAGTTTTGACTCAGAGTCACTCAGTCACAGACACATCAGGGTCACAGAGGTCACTGAGGAACAAGATTAACCAGAGGAGGACAGTGAACCTGGTTATTGAAATGTTGTCATATGGTTTCAGAGTCAGCTGACGCTGAAGGCCAGTCATGACGCAGCGATGCTGAAGGTGGACGAGCTGTCGGGGGAGCTGAAGGACGAGAGGCTGAAGAGTCTGGACCTGGAGAAGCAGCTGCAGAGCTGCAGCATTTCCAAGAAGAAGATGGAGCAGGTGAGTGCTGCTCTGCACCAGGACTGTGACCAGGGTTCAGAGCTCTGGTGCCGGGTCAAACCCTGCACCAGACCTCAGACTCTGATTGATCATATTGATCAAAGTTAATGGAGTGAACTCCTCACTGCACCTCGACATAGAGCTGCAACAATCAGGCGATCAAAAAGAAAATCATTTAATCATTTCAAACATTTTTAACCAATAAAATTGAAATGAAACAGAAGAAGTTTCAGTCAAACATCAGATCTGGTACCAAATCATGACGTGTCCTCCTCCCTCCTCTCCTCCTTTCTGGGAGTGTGGAGCCGGTGTCGGTTCTGGAGGGTCTGTTGAAGGCTCGGCTGAGGGTTTGTGTTCTGTGGGAGGGACGGGGAGCTAATTGTTCATTTGTGAAAGTTTCATGTGGTTGTTGTTTTGTTGGTTTTTTTGTTGTTCCTGTCTTTTGCTCTGATAGGACAGTGATGCAGTTTTCTCCTTGAAGTGGTTTAATAAAGAGACTTTGAAAACCAAAACCTCTCCTCCTGTCCTCCTCTCCTCGTCTCCTCGTCTCCTCTCCTCCTGTCCTCCTCTCCTCTCCTCCTCTCCTCGTCTCCTCGTCTCCTCTCCTCCTCTCCTCCTCTCCTCGTCTCCTCAGTTGCAGGAGCAGATCAGTGAACTGGAGCAGGAGAGGGATTTGCTGAAGGAGAACAATGAGAAGCTGGTTAACAGGTGAGAGGTCTCACTCCACTGATTGTCTCGAGACAGTGTCACTCCTCACTTTGATTAATGATCATTATAATGAGATATAATTATAATTATATACAGTATATATATATATATATACTGTATATAATGAGACATAGTTATAATAATCGTCTCTTGGTGTCTCCAGTGCCTTGGATGTGTCCCAGCAGCAGAAGTGGCAGATCCAGGAGCAGCAGCTGAAGTTACAGATCTCTCAGCTGGAGACGGCGCTGAAGGCCGACCTCGTCGACAAGAACGAGATCCTGGACAAAATCAAGGCTGAGAGAGGTTCGTTACCTCTGTGTGTTAATTACAGGACTGATGTACACGTTGTGCAGCACTGTCAGGCCCCTGGCAGATAAATATAGATCCTCAAAAATACATCACTTAATGTCTATGAAGAAATTAGTCTGTATTTTTTTAGCGTAGCAAGAATATGGCAATATGTATATATATATATATATATATATATATATATATATATGTTAACGTGAGTATTCAGACTTCGAAACTTTAGATTTCGTGTCTCTCTGAAACGGGTCGTGCTGTGAAGCCGTCACCCGTCTACAGCTGGAGCTGTGATGGATGATGGATGATGAGTCGTGACGTCATGAACATGTTTTCATCACCTGATGTTTTTCAGACACGAGCGAGAAGCTGACGGCAGAAAACCAGAGACTTCAGATCCAGTTTCTGGAGCAGAAGCAGCGACAGGAGGAGCTGAGTGAGCGTCTGAAGCTCTACAGCAGGGTGAGGAGACGCCGCTGTCTTCGTCATGATGATGATGATGATGATGAATACTTTCATCTGTACAGGAAGTAACACACACAGCTTACAAAACTCAAACTGAGACCATTACACATTTATTTTGGGACTGCGCCTCTTCCAGAAATCTTTGTAAGGAGCTGATGCTTTTCTCTCATGTCTGAAATCATTAAATAAGAGTATGTATTGTATTGTTTCCATAACTCTCATACTCAAGGTGATTATACAGGTGAATATTTGATGAACCTTGTTATTTTTTATGCAAAATGTCACATTCATAATAGAAATGTTCAAGTAATGAACCATTCTTTCCCGTTTTAAGCATAGAAATTGAAAAATATTTATCCACCATATCCACAGGTACAAATAGAGAGACACATAATGCTTGTTTACATTATGATATTTTCATTTAGCATACACTTTTCATTTTCCAAGTTTTTATTTTATTTGACTGTATTTTTCCACATGTAGTTTTTCTTTAATGTTGGTTGTTGAACTGTATATTTGTTTGTACATCCGTTTGTTCATATGTAAACTCAATACACACAGCTGATTACAGCTGAGGCCACACCTCCTGGGGGGCGTGGCCTGTAAACAGCTGACTGACTGGAGTGATGATGTGTCTTTCAGAAGGATGAGCACGACGTGTCTGAACTGACTGAAGCTCTGCTGCTGATCAAGGTGAGAGGATCAGGATCTTATCTGATGTTTGTGTTCATGTTTCCCTGCGGCTGACTGACAGTGTCGTCGTCCCCGTCCCCCCCCGTCCCCCCCCAGAGTCGTAAGTCCCAGAGGAGCGGCGACCTGGGCTTCCTGAAGGAGGTGGAGGAGGGAGGGAGCAGCTCGGTCAGAGAGCTGCGAGCCGCTCACGCTGAGACCATCCAGGAGCTGGAGAAGACCAGAAACATCCTGAGCATGCAGACCAGGATCAGCAAAGACTACAAGGTGGAGGGGGACACACGCAGACCACCAGATCCTCCCTCATCTTTTTACTCCTTGTACTTTAAACATGTTTCTTTTTCTTTTTTAGACCAAACTCATTTTAGGAATTGACAAGTTCAAACAGTACTGGTTTGACTGGTGCAGTGACTGGTGAAACTGTCACTCATCAGCAGACTGTTGGTTGATGATCATTGGCTGTTTTACCTTCAGTCTGGTTCCGAGCCGTCGGTCACATGACCACTCCAGCTTAGGTCATTCAGACGTTCGGCCTTCTGTAACTTTATGATCATTTGTGTGTTGTCACCAGTTAATTATGAGGAACTGTGCGTTAAAGTCTAAATTTGCTCTGAAGCCTCACAGTTACTGTTATTTTAACTCCTGTCATGGAAGTGTCCTGATGAGGTGTCTCCGTGGTAACGTGCAGGTGGAGCTGGAGGCTGTGACACAGAAGATGAACAGTGATAAAGTGGAGTATGAGCAGCAGCTGGAACGACAGGCTCATCTGTTGGACACGAAGACGGCAAAGATCAAGAAACTAGAAGGTAAGAAACTCCTCCTGTGACTGATTGTTAAACACCAGCTAAAACCAAATGTAGTTCAACTCCACGCTGCCCTGCTCTGTAGCTCTGAAGAGGGGAGGAGTGTGGCGGCTGCTCAGGTGTGTTGGTCCCTGCAGGAAACGTCTCACTGATGTTTCTCTGACATGATGATGACGAAGGTCCGAGCAGCTCAACCCTGAAGGAGAAACTCAACATTTCACAAACAAACAGCCAATCAGAGCTTCACAGCAATGATTTCATTAACCTTGACAACAGACCCATCCGTCGATTGGCTGAAAACAACAACACATACCTGTTCATCTGCATGTAAAGCAGGAAGTGAGATCTGATCACAGGGGGGCAATCGAGACGCATTTTACAGCAGGTGTGAACTGACGAACTCAGAGCTGATGATAAAGACCAGGTTTACACCAGATGTTTCTCTGAGGCCCCTCCTCCTCTGGTCAGGTGTCCTCTGTCTCTGATGACTTGTCTGACTGTCTCCTGTCCGTCTCCTCAGCTCAGCTCAGAGACGTCGCCTACGGCACCAAAACCTACGTCTTCAAACCGGACGTCACCGACGAGGACGAGTTTGATGAAGCTCTTCACCTGGAGCGAGGAGAGAACGTCCTGGAGCTGCAGATAGTCGGCGCAACGCTGACCCCGTCTGCCCTGGAGGCTCTGGGCGACGCTGAGCCCTCCACCTTCTGTACGTACTCCTTCTACCTGTTCGAGCTGCACGCCACGCCGGTGGTGACAGGCGTCAGACCCGTCTACGGCTTCACGTCCAGGTACGTGGTGAGCGTTGATGACCGCTTCCTGGACTACCTCAGCAGATCCTCCGTCACTGTGGAGCTGCATCAGGCCCTGGGTCTGGATTGGAGGACGCTGGGCTCCGGACGGCTGAGACTGCAGCAGCTGCTGGAGCATGATGGGAAAGTCCACGGGACCGTCCCGCTGGTCGGTGAGTGACACAGACAGGTTCAAACCTGTTTCCTTCCTGGAGGCAGTTTGTCGAGTAAAGAAGCAGGTCCGGTTCCAGGTCCGGGTCCGTGTCGCCACGGGTTTCAGGTTCAGGGGTCTTCAACACTGACGACATGTTTCCCGCCTCAGGAGCAGCTGATGAGCTGAGGTCTGTGGGCTCGGTAGATTACTGGCTGAGACTGAGGATCCCCATGACAGAGAGCGTCCTCCTCTACAGGGAGAAGGTGAAGGCTGTGGGCCACATCCACTCAGCCCCGACTGAAGGAGCACAGGTACCTGCTCCTCACACTTTATTAAAACCTCAGCTCCAGTCCACGTGTCCGTCAGTAATAATCACATCACCACGGTAACAGCAGCAGCATCACTGAACACCAGAGGATCTGCAGCCTTCAGGTGTGACTCTACCTGTAACGTCACAGAGAAAACATACTGCAAGTGTGAGAGGTCAAAGTTGAACCGGTCTGTGAGTCAGTATTAACTCCACAGCCTCTGGTCATGTGACCACATGTCACACAAGCCATTGAGTTATCATCACTGAAGTCATGCTTCAATACTTAACTGAACATTTTAAGGAGATCCTAAGGAGACGACTCGGAGCAACTGGCCCCAGGTTTTTATAACGATAAAGAACCAGACCATCACATGGAAGAACAGGACCCAGTCAGTATTGATATTTAGATAATCAATGATCAGTTTAGTTTCTGATCAATATTTAGTTGACTGACGAACAGTGACTGTGGTACGAGGTTCAGCCTGTAGAAATTAAATCAATCAATCTCCTGTCTCCTGTCTCCTGTCTCCTCTCTCCTCTCTCCTCTCTCCTGTCTCCTCTCTCCTCTCTCCTGTCTCCTGTCTCCTCTCTCCTCTCTCCTCTCTCCTCTCTCCTCTCTCCTCTCTCCTCTCTCCTGTCTCCTCTCTCCTCTCTCCTCTCTCCTCTCTCCTCTCCTCCCTCCTCCCTCCTCTCTCCTCTCTCCTATCTCCTGTCTCCTGTCTCCTCTCTCCTCTCTCTTGTCTCCTCTCTCCTCTCTCCTCTCTCCTCTCTCCTATCTCCTCTCTCCTGTCTCCTGTCTCCTCTCTCCTATCTCCTGTCTCCTGTCTCCTGTCTCCTCTCTCCTGTCTCCTCTCTCCTGTCTCCTGTCTCCTGTCTCAGCTGCAGTCTTCGAGCAGCAGCAGCAGCTGGAACCAGCTGTTCGTCACGGTCCACAGCTGTCGAGACCTCCGGTCCAGATCATCCCAGCGTCCCAGTCCCTACGTGGTCTACAAGTTCTTCGACTTCTCTGACTCCCCCAGCGCCACCGTCCCCGACAACTGTGACCCCCACTTCGATGACCTCAGGTCCTACTCGGTCCTGATGGACGGGGGTCTGGACCGGTACCTGAGGTCTGAGGTCCTGCAGTTCTACGTGTTCGACTACAAGGAGGAGCAGATGGACACGTACCTGGGGAAGACCAGAGTCCCTCTGCTGCCTCTGGCTCAGGACCACAGGGTCACAGGTGAGGCTCACCTGTGTGTGTGGGACTCTGGTCTCACTCAGCATGTCTTCTGTCGTGTGGCGGAGCAGAGCTGCAGTAATTAGTCACTTAATTGATTAGAGAATCTCAGGTCTTTTATTTTTGAGTTTTGAATTGAAGACGTCAGTTTTCAGTTTTTCTGATCTTCTACAGATCAAAAGATTAATAAAGCAAATAATGAACAGATGAATCAATAATGCAGGTTATTGATTATTGTTTGGCTCTTTGAGGCTGTGTGTGTTAGTGAAGGTCACATGGAGGGTTTCAGCTGCTCCGTAAACAGCTGCTTTACATTCACATCAAATCTGTTGTTGAGATCAACTGTCTGATTTCAGATCAATACAATGGATTGATTTTATTTATATAATGATTTATGTTATTGATTAATAACATAAACACACTCAGGTGTGTCTCTGTACGAGACATCTGCACCTGCTGANTTATAATAATAATAATAATAATTTGAAATATAAATTATAATATAACATCAATATAAATGTATGAGCCACATGAAATTAAACAACATTTTAATCCCAGATTTAAAGAACTGAACAGAGTTTGTTCTGAATGTTTCTCTCCTGTTGACTGATTCTTCTTCATGGTTTATCTCAGAGTGTGAGGACTCAGGTGTGTCTCTGTACGAGACATCTGCACCTGCTGAGGTGGTTGAGGACGTCTCACCTGTCCTCTGATGTAGTTTGTCTTGTTTGTCCTTCAGGTGTGTTTGAGCTGACCGATCCCTCTGGACTCCCCGCCGGACACATACAGGTAACCCTGAAGTGGAAGTTCACCTACCACGCTGTAGAGGAGGAAACGGCAGAGCTGAAGAACGAGCACGGTGATGAAGAGGAGAGAGATGAACAACTTCAGGACAGAGACCTGGAAGAGATACTGCAGGAGGAGGACAAAGATCCTCCTCCTCTCTCCTCCCTCCCTCGTGTTGCTGCAGCTAAGGTGAGGAGATGAATCAACGACATCACAGATCCTGGTGAAGTGATTTAAACAGACACAGACGTCCACACAGGTGATCTGTCCACAGGCCGGATGTTCAGACAGTGAAGACAGAGCTGCAGCAAAGATACAGACACATGTTCATCCTGCATGAACCAGCTGATACATGTTTTATTCTTCCTCTTCTCTCCGTCAGGCCCCGCTGCCAAAACTCAGACAGAAGACACAGGTGAAAGACGCACAGGCTGCCAAGAGAGTCACCTTCATAGAGTCGAGAGCTGCAGACGAGCAGGTGAGAAGACGTTAGTTTCCTGTTCTATCACAGACTGATCGAGAGTCTGTTCACCTCTCCTGCTCCTGATACACCTGAGAAACAAACAGCTGAGCTGATGTGAACAACGTGGACAGAGAAACAGAAACATACTGTACATGAAACCAGCTGACTCTAGACTGAACCTGGTCTCATCTGGTCAGGTGTTTCTGTATTAGAGGTTTGGACAGTAGAGTCAGACTGAAGTGAAATAATATAAACCAGTTTATTGTTTTATTGTGTTCTTCTGTTAGCATGAGGACAGGAGCTCAGCAGGCAGGAGAGAGACGACATCATCACCTGGTGAACAGGTAAACTTACACAGACTGAAACATTCCTCTGTTCTCACATAATCTACAGTAAAGTGAGGGATAGGTGAAGGTCTGAGTACTTCCTGTACACTCTGTCACCGTGTGTTACTGTGTGTTACTGTGTGGTATTGTGTGTTATTGTGTGTTATTGTGTGTTACTGTGTGTGTTACTGTGGGTGTTACTGTGTGTGTTACTGTGTGAGTTACTGTGTGTTACTGTGTGTTACTGGGTGTGTTACTGTGGGTTACTGTGTGTGTTACTGTGTGTGTTATTGTGTGTTACTGTGTGTGTTACTGTGGGTGTTACTGTGTGTGTTACTGTGTGAGTTACTGTGTGTTACTGTGTGTTACTGGGTGTGTTACTGTGGGTTACTGTGTGTGTTACTGTGTGTGTTATTGTGTGTTACTGTGTGTGTTACTGTGGGTGTTACTGTGTGTGTTACTGTGTGAGTTACTGTGTGTTACTGTGTGTTACTGGGTGTGTTACTGTGGGTTACTGTGTGTGTTACTGTGTGTGTTATTGTGTGTTACTGTGTGTGTTACTGTGGGTGTTACTGTGTGTGTTACTGTGTGAGTTACTGTGTGTTACTGTGTGTTACTGGGTGTGTTACTGTGGGTTACTGTGTGTGTTACTGTGTGTGTTATTGTGTGTTACTGTGTGTGTTACTGTGGGTGTTACTGTGTGTGTTACTGTGTGAGTTACTGTGTGTTACTGTGTGTTACTGGGTGTGTTACTGTGGGTTACTGTGTGTGTTACTGTGTGTGTTATTGTGTGTTACTGTGTGTGTTACTGTGGGTGTTACTGTGTGTGTTACTGTGTGAGTTACTGTGTGTTACTGTGTGTTACTGGGTGTGTTACTGTGGGTTACTGTGTGTGTTACTGTGTGTGTTATTGTGTGTTACTGTGTGTGTTACTGTGGGTGTTACTGTGTGTGTTACTGTGTGAGTTACTGTGTGTTACTGTGTGTTACTGGGTGTGTTACTGTGGGTTACTGTGTGTGTTACTGTGTGTGTTATTGTGTGTTACTGTGTGTGTTACTGTGGGTGTTACTGTGTGTGTTACTGTGTGAGTTACTGTGTGTTACTGTGTGTTACTGGGTGTGTTACTGTGGGTTACTGTGTGTGTTACTGTGTGTGTTATTGTGTGTTACTGTGTGTGTTACTGTGGGTGTTACTGTGTGTGTTACTGTGTGAGTTACTGTGTGTTACTGTGTGTTACTGGGTGTGTTACTGTGGGTTACTGTGTGTGTTACTGTGTGTGTTATTGTGTGTTACTGTGTGTGTTACTGTGGGTGTTACTGTGTGTGTTACTGTGTGAGTTACTGTGTGTTACTGTGTGTTACTGGGTGTGTTACTGTGGGTTACTGTGTGTGTTACTGTGTGTGTTATTGTGTGTTACTGTGTGTGTTACTGTGGGTGTTACTGTGTGTGTTACTGTGTGAGTTACTGTGTGTTACTGTGTGTTACTGTGTGTTATTGTGTGT